AGTTCAATAGATAGCGGAAATTTCGTCGAAAAAAAAATGTTCATTGAATTTGTTCGAATTATATCTCAATGTTTCGGTTGGTGATTATCTTCGACCGTTATCAAGAGAATAAAACCTTATTATCATCATAACCGTCTCCAAGGTATCTTTAATGTTTCTGAGGAGTCATCTTGATCGAAATGTGCATAACTAACATAAATATAGTATGTCGGGTCCTTCAATAAGGGTGTACACCGATTCCTTCAATGTCTTTGAACACATTGAACACAAAAATTCTGCAATTATTCTTATCTTTGGAATGCAGAAAAACATATGTTATTGAGAACTGGAGTACTTTCTCGAGTCCGGGTGCCACAGGAATCTTTAAGGGCCAAAGTTTTTTTATTATATTTGAAAACCACATTCTATGGGAGGTCAATAGCAATCCTTTGTGCACGTAAAATTTTTACTTTTTACTTTACACATGAAGGCGCGGATATTGCGGCCGAACCACCCCATAGCTTATCTACGCTTAAAGATTTGAATGTTGAATGATTAATTCACGTTGAACAGCTTAAATTTACTTAACGTATTATGTATTGAAATCACAATGCTGTGGGCATACGTCCCAAAAAACAACCACTACTCTTCATTGAAAAGTGCGTTGAAGTTGGCTAAAAAAAATATTCAGATTCAGCACATTAGCGCACCTCTATATGAGAAGCATAAAGAAGCAGCTGCTCTCCGCTTGTGTCAAACTTGTAACTCAAATGCCATTTACCACATTTGTGCGTAATATACTTTCTTCTGTAAACTACCTAATTATACACCAATCTTGCGTGCGGAAAGTGTCTTTTTACTGAGTTAGTTTCGTTTCCCATGGATCCGAGCCAATTCGGACATTTCTAGGGTATTCCCGCAAAGGTTTGGGAGCAATAGCATGGACAAAGTATAAGTATGCAATACGTTTGGTAAACTTTTTAAGTCACTTGTTGCATAATATACTATAATTGAAACTTATTAACTTGTTTTTGCTTCGGTGCAATTTTAAAGGTACCCTAACATAATATTCTCTTAAAATGTTACCTTATTTCAATTTTGTATGGACTTACGGAAGTCACCAATCTTAAACTTTAACGAAATTTAATATTATGTTTGTCTAAAACACACATTTAACCAAAATGAAGTATTAATCATTCAAAAAAATTATAAAAGAAATTCTTTTTAAAAATGGCTTCAACAGTATTGAAGTATTTTTCTACATTTGATATGTTAATGTTCTTATTAATTGGTTGTACGTTTATTGGTGAATTTTGTTTTTATTAATTGCTCTTGTATTGTTTTTTTTCTCGTGACAGTCGAATATAGTCAATAAACTACTACTTACTATATTTTTATTTGTAGCTGGCAGTCGGGGGACTTTATCACGAACGTCGTAGCCGTTCTTTTTGATTCTTCCTTGAACGTGCCTCTACATATGCTATGAAATTCCGGATTTGCATGTGACGAAGTCGCTGCGTTATAATCCTCCCCATCCCATGCCATCCTCACCCCCACCCTCATCGTATCGCAAATCCAATTTCGTTCGACGCAATCGTCCGCCATGTGCCGGCCTCTTCAATTATCTAGACTGCCGATCGAAACACATTATTAATTGCGAGCAATTGACAATATCCTCAACTTTTCGGTATTTCGATATTGGGAGACGCTCGCGTCGTTCAGTTCACCGCGACGGCTTGCGTCGTGCGCACGTGATCACCGCGGCGCGTCGCGACGACCCTCGATCGTCCCTGATTAGTTTTAAATAGTAGTCTCACCCGACCGGTTAATAATGAATCTCAGATCGATATAGTGCGTAAGTCACTAAAAACGAGTACTTTCTTTGTTTCGTTTGACGTTTTATGGATGTCCGTTGTACGGATGCGCGATCGGTAAATACTTGAAAGAGTATAATTATTGTTTGTCGTTGTGTTGCTGTTAAGGGGATCGTAAAGATAGAATTTAAATTGAACCGTAACTTTTTCCCACGTGAACTAGGTGACGTTTCATTTATAAATACGGTTTTGTCGTAGAATTAACTTGATGAAACAACTAGATGTAACACATTGTCCATTTGGGATAATGAGTATTTGTGTTTTTTTTTACCTAGAATGAATGCCACAGAAGTACCTACCATTGAATCTACTGCCGAAAAAATCAAAGCAATTCACACACTTCCTTGTTTAGAATAGCCTAACGGGTTATTCTGAGGTTGTTTCAACAAAAACTCAGTACAGCAATTTTACTTAAACTGAAAACCAAAACAGAACATATTCTACGCAGGGTTTTGCAATCACGTTTATTTAACAATTTTTTTTATTTTGATCGAAATTATCATGTGCCCTGTTATATTATACAAATACTTTTTTTTAGTGGGAGATTCAGAGACCTTCCGCAAATTTGAAATCTCTCGACGTTTTCCTCGAACAAATTAGAGCAAAATGTCTTCGTATATATCTCCGTAGTCTGACCCGTTCCGTTAGTCGGCCGTCTTAAATCTCTTTTGCCGTAGCGGCGAAAATCCTCGAAGTGCTTCTTCCGCCGTAAAGAAGATGTAATTTAAAAGTGAACAGAAAAAAGGTTTTCATATCCAATTTCCCTAACAATGTACGGATCTGTATTTGCCTTCTGCCGTATCACGTTTCCGAATTTTTTACGACAAACTTTCGGAGCGTCGGGGAGGGCAAATTTTCCTCCTTGATTATTTCTGATTGTATGCGGGCGACGTTTTCCGACTTATTTTAAAATTGACGTCGTTTTGTTCGGCGTAGTGAGGAATATTAGCCGTATTTTGTTTACGGACGTATAGCGCGAGAATCCGTAGAAATTAAAGCAGTTTTAATACGATTATTTCGTCGACTCTTGGAATTGGTAAGCGCAAAAGTTGATTTGAACTATCTTAGGAATTTGAGCTTTAGAAATATTGACATCTCCAGACGTCATCCGGGACGGAGGATGCAGAAGTGCCCTAAAGTAACTACTTATCTTCATTAAAAAGAGTTAACTGAATCAATTACATCTTAAAATTTGTTTTTTCAAAAATAGAAAAAGATGCGTGGATTTTTGATATTTGTAGTACTTTTATTATTATTTATAAAAACGTTTTCTAATTTTCTTTATTTAGTTTAATCCTCTGGCTTAATAATTGTCAAGAATTTCGAGGTTTCCTATAAAAATAGTTGTCCAGTGAAATAAAGGAGTTCTACTGTGGTTCACAACAAAGACTTCGAGCTAAATAATAAAGTAAATTGAAAGCTCTCGCTACTGCCTGAAAACGAATTTTTAAAGTACCTATAAATTACTGGAATCCTTTGAAGGCTCTGTTTTTTATTGCTTTGTGTTGGTACTAGTTTTTTCACAAGAGGATGCAAATGATTCGCATTACCATATTTTATTAAAAATACCTTTAGGTTATACGCATAAATGAGAAAGTTCGTTTTTATTTCTTTGAGAAAGTTGCTGCGAACAGTCAATGTTTCTTCCTAGAAATCATTTTAGTTAACCTGGAACAAATTACAGTAAATTTTATTTGGTTATTATTCTCATACAATACATATAATTCAAGCAATTTTATAAAATAATATAAATGAAAATTTTTGAGCTAAATTATTATTAAAGTATTCTTATAAAAATAAGCAATAAAAGCATTTTCTTGTCTCAAGAAAATAATAAGCAAACAAAAGTCTAAAATAGAAAGGGACAAAAAACAAGGAAACTTAAATGGCAATGAATGATTTTAACCCAAAATTAAGATAAGTATGCTTATTATTATGACACAAAATTACTTTCAAATTAGTTTGGAATTATATAATGGCGTTTGGAACATACAAATTTTTACTTTCTAATATAAATAATAATAATATTCTTATTCTGTAGACAATGACAAATTTAAATTAAAAATAATACATCACATTTTGTATATCTACAAAATAAACAAATGAAAATTCTTCCTAAAACCCTTAAGGGATCACATGTGATTAATTTACCCTGCGATATATTGCAGCAAATGACGGAATTGCTATATTATATATATATATATATATATATATATATATATATATATATATATATATATATATATATATATATATATATATATATATATATATATATATATATATATATATATATATATATATATATATATATATATATATATATATATATATATATATATATATATATATATATATATATATATATATATATGTTCGAAGTGTTTTCGGAGCGCGAGCATTGAAGATGCCAAGTGAGATTTTGGCGAAACGTCTGCAGGATTCCAGTCGGATGCAAGATTTGCAGGATTCCAGTCGGAGTTCAACGAGCGAACGGATGATATCCCGGAATATAATGTCATCATATATATATATATATATATATATATATATATATATATATATATATATATATATATATATATATATATATATATATATATATATATATATATATATATATATATATATATATATATATATATATATATATATATATATATTGATTCACGGATGGAAAAATGTGCATAAATTAAGGAAATCAGTAACAATTACCCAGTAGAGGAATATTTCTTACTATTTGTGGACATCTTCTCATTTTCCTTTTTGTTGCGAATTTTCGAAGTTTGGGGTAGAAAAATCTTGAGTGCACTCCTGACAACCGCCACTTGTTCGGAACTTCAAAACAATTTAATTCGTTCGTATCGAGTTTTTGAGGAAAGCGCGCGACGAACTTTCCATAATCGGTCGCCCAAGTTTTTAGGTGTTAAGAGTTTGTTCGTGTTAAGTTCAAATTTCTTAATAAAATTCGGATGTTTGGAGTTTCAAGGATTGTCCGGGATAGAATATTTATCAACCAAAACTTCTTAGGAAACAACGAAAATATATCAACGTCCACTAGGACGAAGTTTTGAGATTCATAAGTGGTAGACTATATATTATTGTGATTGAAACGAAATATTAGTAATTTCATTCTTCGACTTCCAGCTAATGATGACGAACATATTGGGATTTCGCCTTAAGGTATTGTATTACATTCAACAGCTCGGCACCATATCACTTATACATGCACTTAGGAGATTGTTCACAATATCTGTTTTTGTGACAGTTGCAAAAAAATTTAAAAGGCACCAGTCTAAAATATTGTATCGAAACCACAAAAGTGTCACAAGTTTGAGTTTTGGAACATATGAAGCTATATTATGGTTACTCTCACAAGTTTTTACTTTGAAACTATTCAAATTTCAAGCTTTTATTGTCTTAGTTAATTGAAAACGTTCATAACAGTTGCACCACTACTCGTTTTCACGTTCAACTCAATCTAAACCGTAGGGCTACTGACTACGACAAGCTATTCAGTCGAGTTGAGTGTTAGCTTAGTTGCCTCAGAACAAATTCCTATATATTAATATAGATAGTGCTTTATAAAGTTGAGAAATATCGAATCAACTTGATTTAAAGTCTGGAACAAGTACGCAACAAACTATAGCCTATTTAAAAACCAAGTTTTTTAATACAGAATTGTAGTGACTTCAATAAAGGTATATTTTTATCTTTTAAGGATTAAGAAAAAATCTTCGATCGTGTTATACACAGAATATCTATGGACATTCTGAGGAAGACAGATGAAGCATAAAGAGTGGAAAATGGCACCAGACAACATTACACCTCATCTCAGAAGAGATTTAAATAAGAAGAGACGTCCGACAAACAACCCAGATATTGTACTGATTGGCAACGATGCTGAAGAACTTCAACAAATGTATAATCGACTAAGCCGCGTAAGTTTATATTAATCAGCGAAAACAAACGTCGATATAATCATAACACAAAATTGATGATTTGAACCAGTAACCCAATACAGATACCTGAGATATCGACTGCGGTCAGATTTGGAACCCCGATGAGGAAATGCGAAGCAGATAATACGAATGGCAAGTAATGCATTTATGAAATATGTAAAGGTATTCAAATGCAGTGATCTAAACCTATGTTACGTATGATCCATATTATTAATATGGCGTAGCGGCTCGGGCGCCTAAGGTAAACAAAAATAGAATCATTCGAAATGTGGACATGCAAACAGTTGCTTAAGATTTCTTCCAAGAATAGATAAAGATAAAGAAAAATAACTACTTACCACAATAAAGATTAGTCACATTTTTCGGAATGAAAAATCTGATATACTGCAGTTAATTCTGGAGGGCAAAATTGAGGGAAAAGGAGGAATGGGACGAAAACAAATGTCCTGGGCTGGGAATATGAGCCAATGGACTGGAATAAAATCAATTGGAGAACTCATTACCCCTGCCAGAGACGTATTTGGGTATGTGGTCGTCGACGTTGAACGCGGATAGGCAGTCAACAAAGAAGATTCGACTGACAAAGGAAAACCAGTCATTTTTCAGTTTCAGCTTCATTTTGCGTGCATTTGGCTATATGGCTTTTGCGTTTGGCGCGAATTCGATGAGCGAAATTAAGCGAGATCCTTTCCTTTAGCACACCGCGTTTGTTCCAGATTTGCGGTTTGAACACTACTGCAAACTAGTTTTCGTGTTCTCGACAACTGACACATAATGTAAATACGATTGTGGTAAATTCAGAAACGTCATCTCAATATTTCTGTATTGCACTCCTTACTCCGGTGACGGTCACAAATTAATCTCGCTCGATTGATATATAGGTATTTTTTGTCGAACGAGGCTACTGCTTTTCCTTTTACTAATGCGTCTTTCTCAGTTGGTTAAATAGGATTGACGAGGGTGAAATCAACCCTCGGTTTTCTAGACCTGTCGCGGAAAACTGTTGGATCGAAAATGGATTGATTCGGATAGCTATATAGGAATAAACTTACACGTTTATGAAAATTGACGGACCCAATAACGGTTTGGCGGCTGCCTAGTATTTTTGCTTTCTTAAAAAAAATATATTATCCCATTATGCGTTTTCCAGTTTTTGAATTGAGAAGAAAATATCTCGTGGAATATTTTTCCAGATATTGTTTTACTTAACGGCTTCAGTAAAGCCACTTGAGTAAATCTCATTGTAATGGAGTAGTTTGGAAGGTGAAGACGAGCTTAGCTTTTCATATTTCACAATTTTAACTAACACCTTTGGAACCACACTAACTGCATCGATGGAAGTCCTCCTAGGATTTGCCGATTTACACCTAAAGGTAAGGCTTAAGGCTCGGAGAGCGGCCTTAGCATGCAGACATATGTACAGGTGCTTCCCCAGTGTATTCCAAGCGAGGGCCTGTATTTTCACAAAAACGTCAATAGGAGGTACTTGGACAAGCACACTTATATTTGCAACGACTAACTAACTATGAAACCAGTTAAACCATCTTATGTTGATTGAGTACAATGAGATGGCTGATGGATGACTGACCCGACACCTCAGAATGACAAGTGACATACGACTACGAACACTGGCAGAACGATCGATAGGATAATGACCTATAAGAAATCACTTCCCGATCATAGTGGCGGTCGACGTCCCATGTACCCATGAACTGTGTTTAGAAAAGGAGAAAATCCCCCCACTAGTACAGCCGATTAAGATTTACTTTGTTTTAAATTATGTTGATTTTGTCGTTTTTTGAAGCATCATTATTATTGGTATCACTAATATCTTGCCTAATGAGCTGAGATACTACGACCAAAATAATATTCACAAATAGCCAATCTTATTCTAATCTTTCCTCATCTTGATAGTTTTAATAAACATGGGCTCTTCTACCAATCCATCTTGTTTTATATTTGCTAATGAATAAGCTTGTCCAGTTCAAGGAACTATTATCATAACGCTTTCCTCTGTAAATGTAATGATAAGTACATAATCTACATTCACACAACACCATGTTTGGGTTAATCTTCAGGTGACGTAATGTACCTCGTTGTTAATGATGCCATCTGGGATCAAAAGCCCCAGAACTATCTCTAATTAACTATCCCGCCATAAGACAAATGGGCTGCACTAACGAAAATATTACCTCATGGAAAAGCATTTACCCTATTTACTTTACTTCTGACTCTCGTCGAAATTAGTTTGCGCTTTGAGCTGTTTATTAAATGATCAGTCTAATCTTGTAAGTCTAATTAAATACATTTTCATTATATTTAATAAAAGTGTAATTTTAAAGGTGCCTAATTTTTTTTTATTCTGCAAAAACTTAGGGCGACGCAGTAAAGTAGTTAAGGAAAAGTTGCTTAGTACGCTTCGCAAATTTCCATTGAATACAATTTTTCGGGTAAATTATTTGGTGTAACCTATCTTTATCAAGTTGAATATGAGCTCAATACTTAAAAACATTGATTTGTATTTGTTTAGCATACGTTTTCGATGTTTCAGCTTAGTACATATCTTAGACTGATTTTGACTTGCAGATTAAAATCCATTCGTGTCAATATGCAGTTAGCGGTTCTAATCTGAATTTTGAATTTTGACGTTTGTCAATTCTGACAGTCATGTCAGTGCATGTATTCGTGTTGTTTTGCGAAAATGTACCCAAAAACTAACGGTCGTAGAAAAAGTATAGTATGCAACACCTTCGGTAAACTTTTTAACTCACTCGTTTATTAAACCGCTCGTGCCAAATAAACTCGTGAGTCAAACGCCGTTTATCGCACTGGTTGCATAATATACTATTTCAGAAAACTTGGATGTTCATGAACCTTGATAGAAATTTTCCTGCCAGACTGTCCTATCTAAGCTACATAGCAATGTACACAGTTTAAAAATATATCCCTGATCTAGAAAAATAATCCACGGGATCCTTAACTTTGATTAGAAATTGAAATTTTGATGTTATAATTTGGGATCTGTTGGCGAACTTGTAAATCAACTTATTGATAGACCGATTATTCAGCCATATTGAAAATTTGTCTAATCGTTAATTCCTTATTAAACGGGATTGTTAAAAATCGAATAAAACAAAGAATTAAATTAATGCAAAGTTTGTTAGAACGAGGTTATGTGGCAGTGTCCAAGTCAGTTTTCGCTGCTTGTCTTTTGTCCATTGGTCATAAACTTTGCATGAGGATAATAAATCACCAAATCCAAAAAGAGTTTTATTCTTGATTGCGGTAATGACATTTACAATTTTGAAGTGATATTAATTTCAAATAACATAAAATGCCGATATGTGGTTTAGCCTTGTGATATTACAATTCTTTTTAGTATTTTGAGCATTTTTGCGTATGGCTAAAATTTATGTATATTATTCTTTTTTTTTAATTATCCTGTAGGTCTGATAATATTCGAAACAAGTCTAACTTGTAATAATAATAATTTTTGAGATCTTAGCTTGTCGGTGTGCTTCAATCCGTAGTGTTGTAAAACAAGGTTTCGCTTAATATGGCCCATTTGTTTTATTTGCTATTCAAGTTCGAGGAATAGTATCAACGTGTCAGTTTACCCTATACCTTGATCCATACTTCGTTAGTTGTGTAAAGAATAATTATTTCAAAGGTTTATCATACATAAACTCGACCATACTGAACGTGCCAAACTCATTGTCACGTACTGTTTAGATATCCTCTTTAAACTGACGTTAGAACTAATCAGCTTAAAGATGTGGAGTCGATTGAATAATCGTGGATCGTAGTGGATATCTGTGCAAGGTTGCACAGACAGTTATTAATGAAAAATGTTTTTTTACCTTCTCATCGGTTATCAGGAAAATGTATCACTATCCGGGATATACGATTTTTTTTGTTTTCTCTTTATTAGTGGAATTTGTTAGAATTAACTGCAGCCATGTATAATTTATCTTTCGAGGGTCTTGTTATAGTAATAATTGCATGCACTTATACATAACAAATTAATTAACAAAATAATAAACTTTGGTAGTAGTGAGTTTACGAAGTCTTTTTTTAGCTCCTTCCGCAGCCGCTATGTCTCTCTTTCGCGCACTTATTCTCACTTTAAACCTCTAGGATTAGAGCTCAACAGAGGGATTTAGAGAGATCTGAAGAGTTTTTTAGAGAAGCAGAAAAAAAAAGAGAAACCTGAAAAGAAAA